TGAAGGATGCAGCCCCTGAATTCAGACGCAGCCTGACACTAACGCGCCTTTTTCTATATTCATAATCTAGCAAAAAGCGGAAGCATTATATGATGAAAATATGCAAAAAATAAATAGTATTGCATACTGCAGTTTAAAAATCTTGACTGTTCAGTATATTTGCTACTATTAAATGGATAAAATAATGATATCAAATTGATTTCACAATTGCAGGATTTTCAGCAGTGTTCAGTAATTTTCAGTAGTGTTCAATAATTTTTCAATGAATTCTATTCAGTCATGTTTATGAAGTACATAAGTGTATAAGCGTATGCTAAAGGACCTCACGTGAGAGCATTGTCTCTTTATATACGTAACTCCTGAAATCCAGCAGGCTCCCGAGGTGAAAGTGAAAGCTAAACTGAAAAGCTCTATACTCTCTGATTTACTCGCTGTGTTTATGCCCTGAATTGCGGGTCCCGCTGAAGAGCACGCATGACCCGCGAGGCGTGAGAATGCGGGGTGCTTGTGGTGCCCTGCTACATTTCTGAAAACGCTTTCGCCCTCCGGCTCGGCCGAGGCTCACTGAAATCCCTATAAAGCCGCATTCTCTCTGTGTCAGCAGTACAGGCTGTCGGGTGTCAGGCAGCCTGAGAATCCCCTTCCAATGGAGCTGTATTTAGTTACAGTTTGCAAAGGCCACCTGTTTCTTGCCAACTTTTAGTTTATTGGAATACCTAGTGTCCAAGCATGCTTTAATGCATGGGTTTACCCAAGCTGAAGCGCAGGGGCCTTCGCTAAAAATGGGGCCTCGACTAACCTTGTTTAATAAAATTCTATACTTTCCCTCCCCCTTTAAATAAAAAAGTAGGGGAGGATCTGACACCTCAAATAGCCCAGGGACCTCTGGCTCTGTTAAGGAGTCATACTTTCATATTGTTATGCCATTTGGAGCAAAGTGCATGTATTCTTCAAACAAATTATATGTTTAATATGCATATACTGAATTTTAGCATGTGTATTTTGAGAAAAAGAGTAATACATTTAAAAGTACTCTAAACGTATAGTGTTCAGTTATTTTCTAGTTCATTAGATTGTTCTAATCATACTTGTAATGCAATTTTCAAATGCAGCTTATTATGATTTTTCAATACTGTCTTCTGCAATGTGCCTTGCAGTATTCATTTTATGAATTTTTATTTGCGTTAATCACTTTAACATATAAACACTGGAATTTTTCACGTAACACACGGAATGTTCGTTTAGTAGTCATACTGAACTTAGTTGCCGCACAATTAGAAATGTAAGTTGTTAACTCTGTACGAGCAATGTACAAACAGCTAAATCCAAGCATCTGAGCTATGCTTTGTTACTATGTATCGCCAGTAAAATTATTTATATTTTTGGAACCTTGGAGAGGTAGGTAATATGTCCTGTGTTTTGGCGCTGCTGAGACGGCTGGCTCCGCTGCCGTTCTGCCGTACACATCTTAAACCTATTGCATAAGCGAGTTACGCAAGGATTCTGGGAAATGGCACGCGCGCGCGTGGAGCCATGACCACGGCGGGAGCCCACTGCTGTCATCCTTCGAGTACGTCTTGCTGCGTGTACCCAAAGTACACAGACGCATACCTAACACATCACCACCACAATCAAACAAGGCCGCCCATACACCTCTGATCGCTTATACACATACATTCAGATATGCTGTCAAATATGTGCTTTTAGTACTGGTTATGGTTATGTCTTGTTTTAAAATATGCAGACTGGCTTGGTATTTAAAAGTCACATTGATGATTGGATATGCTTTGCATTTCAAAAAAAAAAAAGAAATGGTAATGTTTCACATTAACTGAACCTTTATAATGCATTTACAGAACATTCAGTACACCTTCATTTTCCATTCATGGAACATTAATAACATACCTTAACAGCTTTAATATACATTAATAATAAACATTACATGATAACAAATATTATAATGGTATGCTTATGGATGTGCTATGAATGCATTATAAATGCATTATGAAGATGCAGTTAATGTAAAGCGTTAGCAAATTAATACATATGGCTCTTTAGAGGATGACCTTCAACTTCTGTGGTTTTTCATTGTAATATGCAATACCGTGTATGACATTGTTTACACTCTTACTGTTTACTATTGTTTGTTTGTTATTTATTGTTACTATTAATGTGTAAAGATTTTTCTTTACTGCCTAAATCTGTGTGTTTTTCTACTGTAAACCTGCAGTTTCCTTTGAGATTAATGAAGTAATCAGTTTGTCTGTGTACATCTTTCTGTACCTACACTGCTGTGAGACCGAGATTCTGAGATTCTGTGACAGTAACCATGAGTATATCGCTAAGTAAATGCCCGCTGACCATGCCAGGACACCTCCCCAGACAGGGGGCGCCGGGGCGCCTGCCCATCCCCTTCCATGGGCCACTAATTGATTCCTCACAGCCTAAGCGCCTGATGTCTTGAGCTGGCAGGCTCCTCGGCTCCTGGGACTCACCCAATAAGGAGGGGGCCGGCGATGGCGCTGGAGCGTGAAGCGGGAGGTTTAAAAACTCTCGGGGTCTTGCAGCGGACTGTTATCCAAGACTGTCCCCAGGAAGTCACAAATTGATAAAAGGAATGATAAATTTGTCCCTAAGCAATGTGGCAACAAATTAACAAATGTGACACGTAAGCCTATTGTAATGTTTATATACCGTGACATCAAGAAAATCCGGGTATTACTTAAAATTATATCACACATTTCTGTTTCCTTGGAGAGCATAAAAGTAAGAGATTTTTATTAAATAAAACAGTATCAACAGATGATGCCACGTCACTGTTAACTTCCATGTACTTGTGTGAGATATTTTAGGTCTTTGGTTGAAAATGCCAACTAACTGAACAGGTGTTAAGATGGAGCAGTAACCTCCAACTTCTCATCTGTCATAAATAGGAACACAGTTGCCTGGCTTTTGTGGATCCATTTTTCTTCTGGGGTCTCTTCCACTGTGACAGCTGGCATCCCTGCTGTTGGATGGACAGTTGGGCTGCGCCTTGTGTACTGACCTGGAAGCACATTAATGAAATGAGCTCAAACAAGCCCAGCCTCCAAAAGGCTTTATTTAGCAACTCCTGGCTAAATGTATGCTCTTGAACCTGAAAGGCTTCCAAGTTTATATTTCTTATTTATGGATTACTAGGGATTTCATGCAAGTACAATTGGCTTTTTTTTTTAAAAACAAATAGCAAACAGAATGTAGCATAAGCCTATATTTTACTTTTTTTACAGGTCATGTTCTGCTATATTTGTAGAATTACATATCTAGGTCCTGGGAAATATATTTTCTCTGACTGGATGGATGGAAAAATGAACTTCTCTACTGACTGTGAGCTGTTTCTCTCATCAGAATCCAGAAGAGGTGTTTGTGAGGACCATTCTCTATATGCATCTGCTGTTTAAGGTCAGATGAACACCACTCAGTATTTGAAGGTTAACAGATGAAAGTTGTAGGAACTTAGCGACAAGATGCTGTCTCTAAGATAAAGACACCTGTGGAAAACAAAGGGAGGACACCATCCTCAAAGAGAAGGAGTCTAACTGGCAGGCCACATGTTTTTGGGGAGCATCTATCACAGCTCTCTCAATCTCCAGCGTAAAGCAGACTTACTCTGTTTTTGGGAGAGGAGTCTACAACAGCTGTTTGCACCACCATCCAAAGAAAATCCTTGTGCAAGAAGTTCTGCCTCGTTAATTCATCTTATCTTATCTTATCTTATCTTATCTTATATTTGTGATTGCTATGAAACATAAACATGTATTAATACCAAGTGCTCAAGTAAATAAATGAACGTTCTTTTCCAGGATATTGTTCAGCTTTTGGCATCTCTAATATGTGGAAACGTACTGCAGTGCGTCTGGCTGGAATTTAACGAATAGTCACTTGGCTTTTACTCCTGTGACTGAAGCGACAGCATTGGCAGCGGAGACGCGCCCCGTCGCATGTGTTCACAACCCGCCGGTTAGCGAGGGGGTTGTACGTGATAAGCTGGATCGTCTGCAGTGACGCCTTTCAGGAGATGGGATGCTCTGTGGCTTTGCAATTAGGCTTCGGCAGGCTACAGCATTATTGTCTTGTAATTATAATTCCTTGTCGATCCGAAAAGGCTCGCAGAATCAGAATGTCGCCGAGAATGCCTCCGTCTCACGACATAAATAGCAGTCTCTGTTTTCGGGAGGGGCGGGATGTGGCAGTTCACATTCCATGACGGTAAAACCCTAATGCACAGAAAAATAACTTTGATCATAGTAACTCGATAATGATGAACACATTCAATGGCTGTCACTTACTGGCTTTGGATCGGAACGTTTAATCATCCCCGCGCCTGTTGTTTCCCTGTTTCACTACAGGACAGATAATTCAGCTATGTTTAAACGCACACTTTCTGGTAGAAACGCCACACCCTGGTATGCACCTGCTCTAAAAAATAGCAAAAAAAACGTTTCGCACTTTACAGTTTCAAACTGAAATAAATGTGCTGTACTGACCTACATTTCTAATTACGTTTGGTTACTTTTTATAACCTCTTTATACAAGAATTCTCTGAATTATTATCCCTTGTTGGCCTTGAAACAATGCAATATCCACCGTAAATGTGTTTACAGTTGGAAACACGTTTTGATGTATGATATCAGTCTCAGATATTCTCATAGGCCTACATTTGAGAAGAGTGATGATGTTTTATGGATTAAATTATAAGTTTTATTGCTGAAAACACCTATTCTTTAAGAGGCACAAAAATCACTTTGTTTACATGACAGTCTGGTATGACACTTCAAAGGCGTCATTTTACAGACACGATTATACATAAGCTATTGTTCACTGTCCAGAGGAGTCGTATAGTCATGGTATTGTTATGTGTTTTTAATGTGGCGCACGAGAGAACGATGAACGGCAAAGATGCTTTCTTACTTCCATACGTTTTCCCAGCATCTGTGCTGATTTGCTGTACTTTTCCTTTGTGCCAGGTCTCCTTTTAGGTGCTGCAGGAGTGACTCTTACTAATGAAGGTGTTCCCCACGGCTGACACCCGTTAGCCGGCCGCACGTGACGTTTCTCTATCGATTGCAGTCAGAAGATTAATGGTAAGCACCACAAGATGTCCCAGAATCTGTATTGACAACTAGTGAGATAAATGGGTGGATTACTCTTGACACATGGGCAATACTGAATACCCGCTGACCCGCTCGCGTCATGAATTATCCATGTCACGGTGCCACTGTACCTTTAAGAGCAGTAAATCACTTTGGACTCGCAATTAAAGGGGCCGCTGATTACCTGTGTCACAAAAAGCATATATTGTGTCAAAATAGGGCTCAGCCGGATATGTCATCTCACATAGCCACATTATCACTTTTCCTACCTACGATGTCCTGTCCTTGGGTGAACTCGGACGGTTTCAAGCAAAAGGATAAAGGGGAAAGAAGCACATTTTAAAGATTGCACTAATTTTGCGTGTAACCTAACCTGAAGTTCTGCAGTTTTTTTCTGGTGAGTGGTTTTTACCACGGACGGAATAATGCCCTATATTCAAAGAGCAGGGCAAGATAAAGAAGGCAATCAAAAAAAAAAAAACTTGCTTGATGTTCATTTTAGGAAAGTTATTGGCAAATAATGGCATTTTAATTAATGCATACAGCTTTATGAAACCATGGGCGTGAGCCTCTATGCTCTGTGACACTGTCACACCTCTACCCGAGCTCCGTGCGACCTGATTGACTCCAGGCATCCCTTTCGGGTTTTATGGCTCCCTGCTTCCTGGGTCCCGGTTCACCTTCCTGGTTCCCCAGTGCGTCCAGTGCGCGGTTCCCTGTTTAAAGGATGGCCTTCCACTTCTGTGGTTTTTCATGTTTCGAATGAGCGCTCCTGGCTGTGATAGACCCTGTGGAGTTTTATTTGAACAAAATTCAGATTTCGCGGTCTGTTTGTCTTATCAGAAACATTTCGGGGGAATCACACCTGTTATTATTGCAGCAGCCGCCCAAAGCTAAACAATTACGTACCGAAATAAATCTGGAAACCCGCCAACAGTTAAGGCATCTTTCATGTTGTCTGATATGTCATTTAAAAGACTTATCTGCCTCTTCGTTATGGCATCTGTTTCTGCGTGACTCTGTTCATTTACAGCACTTTTTTAAAAGCATGTAGCAGGCTATTATATTAAGGGGAATTAGCTCAAACGTTCAGCCTTGGTTACAATTATCATATTTTATGGAATAACTCTAATATAAAATGTACTACTAAAATAATATAACACCAATTGAAGTTCTTTAAACGTCTTGAAAATGTCCGATCAAATCTCTGTTCTGCCGAAGTCTTTGCATATTTATTACTTCAAATATATTTCTGTAGGCTATTTGGTTTTGCAATCCAGTGGGGAAAAAAACCCTAATCCGACTGCTACCCGCAAAGTTTCGCGGTATAACAGCAAGGACACAGCATCACCCCCTTAATGTCCGGCATCGAGTGAATGGACGCACGCCAGCGGATCTCTTAAATCCCCCGCTTTCCCTCATTTATTGACAGGTGGCTTCGGCGGCCGAGAAACTGTTGTGACTTTGAAACGGCGCGGATATAAATAAGTCATGCGGGGTGACGGGGACTTTGGAGCAGCTCTTTTTCCAGGTTTGTGGCGCAGCTTTCCGGCGATTTCATTTGATCCGCTCACTCTGCCTGTGTAATCTAGACTTCTGTTGTTAGCGGGAGCCGTGCTTAATCTTTGATGGTTAAGAGACACTATGCAAACACACCCCGGTGGCATGTGAAAACGCGGGCTTTGAAGGGGGGGAGGGCGGAGAGCAGACACCATTCCCGTGTGAGTTTTACCCATTTTTCACGGGTGGTCCGTATCAGATTCGGGACAGTTTGTTTTTGATGAAGCTGAACAAATTCCTGAAACTTGATCGCTTTTGATCGTCTTCTGAAATGTCAAAATGAACGAGGCGAAATTCCCTACCCTACATGTGCTAAACCCTTTTCCCATCTACTTTGAAACAACAAAACATGTGCAATGTAAGAGAGATAACATGCAAAACTAAGTTTGAACAAATCTATCTCAGGACTTTCTTTGGACGTTATTCCCTTTTGATCTCAGGTTATATTTGCGGTGCATCTTCATCATGCCTTCATAAGATTGCTCTTTCATGCAGAGTAACAAAAGAAAAATTCGTGTCATTTATGCTAATTCGTTAGTTAGCTAAGTTAGGCTACTTTTTTCTTAACAACCCTGTAATGGTTGTTCGTACACTAGGGAAACAGTATTTCACTGGCAATAATCCATGAATAAAAAAAAAAACCTCAATAATACCGTAAATCAAAGCAAACGCTTCTTTTCTAATAACAGAACCCAGCAGTTAAATTGCTTCGAAAGGCATTGAATGTCGGTTACAGGTAATGGTACATATGTCTGACATTTAAGAAAACCGCCTCGTATAGATTCCTTGTCTGTGCAGTAATAAAACACCAAGGCATCCGCGTCGTATTTATTTTGCGTTAATGCGCTGTGCTGCTCCCGTCTAATGGAGGTTCTATTTTTCTTGGAGACTTGATTTGTTTGACCTTCACCCCATCATGGCATGCCTAATACTCCTATTGCCACGGAAATATCTGTCCCTGACTATTCTTTTTTGCCAGTATTGGATTACAGAGACCATCCACCAGGTAACATTGAAGCTCTCCCAAATGGCTCTCTCCCCTAATGTGATTGTTTGGACGTATAATAGGAGAACTCTCCAAATGAGTGACAAAACACAACAGACAGCAACTTCATTAATGTCCAAATTAGTGGTAGCTTTGGTTACTGTCTATCGATGTTCGGCATCCAGGCGCCCTATCAAAACGTACAACATTTAATGATGTCCGAAGCTGATTTGCAATATTCCGTCCTAACCTGTGATAGAATGATCTAGATAAAGGTAAATCACCATGGAGGTACATCATTAAGCAAAGGTATGCGTTGACTGTTACTACATGTTGATAGGCGTATAACCAAACAACTGAGAGCACGTCATAGAAATATAGAAGTACACAAATACACACACACACACACACACACACACACTATAGTATAATTGAAACTTAATTAAACGATCTAATTAAATAAATATTTTCTGGCTTCGCCGTCACACTGAACTCAGGAGGTTAATAACCTCAGTTCTCATTAGCAAGATGAAATCTGTTCTCCAATTAAATTACTGGGAGGTCACGTAAACAAGTGACTTCATTATGGCCGCAGCAGCACAGGAATTATGATTCTTTGACTTCTTATTTGCATGCATTACTGTGCGTGCGATAGCTGCAGACTAAAAGCCGAAACGCAACCCGTGCCTCTGCTTCTTCTGATCTTCTGACGTGAAAGGAACTCTCTTGGAGAAAATGGACTTACATAAATTATGTGAAACCAATAAACCGTTATACTAGCCACATAAAGTTCTTTTGTACTTCATGCTAGAAGGAAAATGCATCCATTTTCTTTTTTGTAGTGTAGCTGTTATGCGCGAAATTATATATGCATCCCTGATTACGTACCTGAGTGGTACTGGCTTATCTGCAGAATAAATCCCACAGACCTCAGACAGGTGTGTCCGGGTGATATTTGATTAATGTCTTAATTCATATATCAGCGTGAGAAGCTTATTAAAGTACATGATAGTTAATGAGCTAGATATAAACAATTATTGTGCCAACTTAAAACTTGTCCTACAGAGTTTTATCTCATTGGGTGATGACAGGTCCTAACCGCGAGTGACGTGTTTTACTACTGTGAGTGGTCGCGCTGAATTTTAAAACTTTCATGTACAGTTAAATAGCCTACCTGTCTTGTCCATTAGCTACACATCAAGGGCAAATATAAGCACATCGTTTATCGTTTATTGTGTTTGTTAATAGTGAGTGTGCTATGTCAAGTAGTGTTCCATTACCTGAAACTAAGGTTTTCGTCGGAGCAGAAGTGCCACCTTCAGTGACGTCATCCCGTATCCCTGATGAATCGTTTTTATCCAGCACAGATGCATAATGGACTGGCGTTTTTGGAAACGATCCTCACTGTCCTCGAAAAGCCAGGCTTCAGAAGGATCACACAACGCAGAACTTCCAACCAGGGAAATATGATCACTAACGCTGTAATGAAACTAACCGTAATCAAGAAGAAGAACAACAACAAAAACATGTACAAACAAACAAAATCCCGGAATTTATGATTGATTATGATTATTAAAAACGCCCATTTGTTGTTGTAGCTGATTTTATTCTTAACCACTTCACATCGGAAAGGATGTTTGTGTTTTTTCGCGGTATGTAACAGGTCTCTGTTTATACGAATGTTCAAGATGTATCAGTGTTCAGTGTTAAATATGGGGTCTTCCGAATACCACTTCGCGTGCATTCATTTAAATATTTGTTAACAATAGTAATTGGAACGTTCATGCATGCCTAATGGGTTGAATGGCCCTGTTCAATTGTAACACAAGTCACGAGACGAGAAAAATGTTTGAAATACATTAAGGTATAGGCTACATCTGTCATCTCATATATTAGAAACATTATGTAAGGTCTTGAAAACAAAGCCATTTGAATTATGTAAGAAATATTTCTTAAATTTCAGTTCCGTATTCATAAAACTCCTGGGCATCAGGGTTGGCCAGAACTTGCTTTGAAAACATCTGGTTTAGACATTAGAAACACATCGGCGCTTTTGCCCTGTGCCAGAAGATTTCACAACATGAGCACAGCGAACCAGTTCACCCCGACCATAAATCAGTTTGGTTACGCGGCTGCACCATGCACCTGGAGGTTTGGTCAGCAGTCTTCCATGCTGGAAATGAGTATGCATAATGACATATACTGTAGCGGATTGAGCTACCTCTCGCTATCTCCCTAAGGAGTTTGCGCCCGATGTGGATAAGATCATTGCTTTTTGTGTGCCTGACCCATTTTCGAAATAAATGCTTTGAACTTAAGTCATACATATATACACATGGTATATAGAAAGCATTCACAATATCGACATACAGACATAAGGAGTGCATCAGCAGTGTGCCATGTGGCTCAGCCTCAGCTGTGCCTGTAATTGCAAAGCCGCTAGTTCACATCCCGCGGTCAGTAGTCATTTCATTGGTGAGTCCTTCAGCAAGACCTTTGACCCCCAATTGCTCCGGGGACTATCAGACCCCGCTGTCTCAAGTGCATGTTTCTTTGGGTAAAAGCGTCTGCTAAATGAGTAAATGCATACCTCTGCAGAAAAAGTGCTGAAAAAGACTTATATCAGGGTTCAAAAGATGGATTCTTCTGTACTGGGCTGAGTTTGAGTGCTTTCAGACTGTGTGGCCACAAGCACATCAGGAAACTTGAAGATGGACAGCTGGTATCGGGGTGGTCGAGAGACCGAAACAAGGGGGGTTGGGATATTGCTGTCATAGCCCTTAATGGGGCTCTTTACATAAATTCTTCTGGCAAAATATGCATAATATGCAGCCGCATAATATGGAGAAAATGTAAAACGGCAAGATATTTCATTTGCATTGTATGAAGTATGTAAACAGTTAAAACACGGCCAAGCCTATAGGCTATGTAAATGTGCAGTTCTGCATAGTGTTTTTCTGATGCAACGCTTTGCAATAAGTTTAATAAGAAAGGATTCTATAAAAAAAAAAAGCCAGCAGTGATGTAAACCCTCCACCAGTTTTTCAGATCGCACATTAGCTTCACAAATTCAGCGAGGTTAGCTTTCTGTCATCCTCCTGATTAGCGATATTAGCTATGCATGCACTCTGACATTGGGGCGTCTGACTTAACCAGAAAATGAATTTGATTTATTTTAAACGATGCCATGCTGAATTAATACATTTGACTCATTATTCATATAATGGCCGCTATGAAGATATTTATTCTGCGTGGAATTAGTCACTATTTTGGCACCGCTCGCATGGAACGTAAGCGGGAAAATGATGCAATGCACTGCATTGTTATTGTTAGCACTCAACAATAAAGCCTTATAAAACATAATAGCTGTTTAATAATTCATTCATTTATTGATTGATTTTATGTGACACTAATTTAATTTGCAGTCTGAATCCTAAGCAGGCTATGCGTACGTACGGTGTTTAATGCTTTCTGTCACATTGTGTCCATTCCAGGGGTTTTTCCCCCAATATCTTCTGGCCTCATAAAGCACTCATGTGCTATTTGTGAAAATCTGTTGGCTCACTGCCTTGGAATAGTTTTAAGACACGCAGTGCACATTTTGTGACCAGAATGGTACTCAAGACAGCAATAGCTGTGCAACCACACCGATCAAACAGCCCCCTTGGTAAATAAATAGCGTAACCTGTCTCGCGAGTGCCAGTTTTTAATCTGGAGGGTATTTACAACCAAAGGTCACTTAATGAAGCATCACATTTATGAAAAGACCCTTCAGATCGCCGTGGTTCGTGGATCACTACCAATGCACATTCACCTGCAAGCACAAAGGCAGTTACCAGCATACCAACAGAAAGGCTGGATGCTTTTGAATACTGCATAGACGTTTAATCTCTATAGAATATGGCAGTTCGGTGGTGAACCATGGATTGATCCAATGAAATTCTTCACAACATATGTTTGCAAGGAACCACACAGCAGGTAAGTAAAAATGTCAGACCCTAGAATAATGCATCAAGGTCATTAAACTTCTGAGTCGCCTGCTTAAAAGCACCGCTAATGATCACACTCGTCCACACGGCTCTTTCCGCCGTCCTGTCACGTGCACAGCCACATCTCTCTGGTTCGTTGTAGTGGCTTGTGACATGGTCCCCAGCGTCCTTACCTGATTGTGCCCCTCTATATGGTCTGTTTGTTGTCTGCTATCATTCCTACTTATGTAAATCATTTTTTATCTTAATTCCCTGATACAAACTGCACATTTGTTAGTGTTGCACTTCCTTGGATGCTGCACAGTGGGCCTGGATGCATGCTTGTGTAAGGATGTGATCACGATAAAGTTGGCCTGACTAGACTATTGAGTATCACTGTTGCCTCACACCTCCAGGATTGCGCGTGTGAATCCTGCATCTACTCTGCGTGTTTTCTTTCCATCTTGCATGGCTTTCCTCCTACAATGCACAGACAGGCAGCTAGGTGGGCTGGTGTCTCTACATCATCCTTTGTGATTGCCAAGTGATGGACTGGGAGTTCCCCGGCCTTGTACCCTATACTGCCTGGTATAGGCTCCAGCATAAGCAAATGGATAATGATTAGGAAACTCACACATTCCTTTACATTCATAATGTGATGAGACTGGATGTACACTAAGCTGATCAGCATTAAATTTAGCATGAATAATTAGGATTTTTTTAGTGAGAGCACATGTCAGACAAATAGATCATGGTTGGTCGATCCCTTCTGCTCCATCCACGCATTCCTGAATAATTGGGAGTTTTGCGTGCAATGAAAGTGACCTCATGCACCACTGTCATTTTACACCAGGCTGCTGGGAGGAGGGGAACGCGGGAGTGGGGGGGGGTTGCTTTTTTCAGAACATAATGAAAGGTTAGGTTGCCAAGGGTCACTGGAACTAACGGATTGCTAATTAATAACCCAATCAGAGCTAGGTGAAGCTACAAGGAACATGGCAGGTAGTTACCTTTTCCAGAACAGTCTATAATTTCCTATTTAACTTTCTCACAGATGCTAATAACTAGGAAGTGGTGTAACCATGCAGATAAATAGGTGTTACGGTTAACAGCCAATAAGGGGGTGGCTATTTTGGCCTGACTAGCGTATCCTGAGGTTAACATTTGTATATCATCAGTAAAAAGATTGCACTTACCCTAAATTATGGAGATGGAATTAAATTAAATGGCCATGCATGAAGTTTATGGAAGTAATTATGACATAATATAGAGGTACGTGAGTCAGTGCCAACCTTTCCTCCAAGATCGCAAAAGGAGCCTTCTGTTCTAATCTGTCCTTGCCTCAGTGTGGCTGATCCAGAATGTTTTCACGTGTACCCAAAATTCAGCCGGAAAGCCTGTATGTTTGGGTACTCAGAATTTGTGATGGGAGAAGCGAGGCTTTGGCACACACTGCAGGTGGGATCACCAGGCCGTTTCAGTTGAACCCACTTCCCATTGGCTATCTTGCTGTTCCTCGCTGGACTGCCATTGGGCTAATTCGCACGGTAACTGACAGTGCGCCATGGTCCCGCCCACCATTGGTTTCCGACTACTCACATCTCCCATCGCTGCTTGGAACTCAAATGGTGAACCGTGTGGAGGAAAGTTGGACGAAGAAGTGAGGGATGAGAATGAAAGAGTGCCCACAGTACCCAAATATAAAAAGGCAGAAGAAAAGCAACAGTGGATGAAAGGCATTTATTGCAAAGTAAAATGACAAAAGAAACAGAATTTCTGTGTATTTGACCCAAAAATGCTCATTTTTCACTTGAAAATTAGACTATTTAAACATCACTGCCTGGCATTTAATAGCATCAGAAATGGGCAGGGAGTTTAAAAGCATAACTTTAAAAGAAACACATATAATGGGTCATGATGTACTTGAATCGTGGTCTTTTCCTTACACTCATAGCATTTCCTCAGCATTTCTTCATTTTAGCACATTCTGGCAGGTTAATGGATCAGGTACAAACATGCAACTCACTTCCTTATTTCAGAAGAATGGAGGTCACGTCTGTTTAAGGCGACTGACGTTGTACTAACTATAATTTTACTGCTGTCATGGTGAAAAACGACCATTGCAGAAGGTAAACCTCTCTCTCCCGCTCTCTCTGGATGCCTGCCCACCTTCTATCTGCAAGGCAGGAATAAAAGGATTTAGTAAATGACTCTTTACATTCCTAGCATGACTAAAATTCCCCAGTTGGAAAAGCATTCTGTGTCCTCCTATAGACTCCGCCTGCTAAGGTTTCACTGTATGCTACTCTGCATGTAAACATGGACATTTTCCTCTAAAGCCATATAGCAGTGGTACACACGATCAACGATAACATTTAAACCACTGACAGGTGAAGTGGATAATATTGATTATCTCGTTACAACCACACCTGTCAAGGGTGCCATTATATATTACACAAGTGAATAGTCAGTTCTTGAAGTTGATGTGTTGGATGCAGGAAAAATGGCAAATTGTGATGGTTAAATGACCGAGTCAGAGCATCTCCACAGTGGTAGGTCTTGTGGGGTGCAGCCAGTAGTCAGTAACCCCCAAAAGTGGTCCAAGGAAGGCCAACCGGTGAACTGAAGACAGGGTCATGGTACCCAAGGTTCATTGATGGCCTGATCCCACAGGAGAGTGACTGTAGCACAAATTACTGAAAAGGTAAATGCTGGTTATGACAGAAAGGGGTCAGATCACACAGTGCATCTCAGTTTGCTGCGTATTGGGCTGCGTAGCTGCAGACCGGTCAGAGTGTCCATGCTGACCCCTGTCCGCCGCCGAAAGGGCCTCCAGTAGGCATGTGATGCTCTGGGCAGTGTTATGCCGGGAAACCTTGGGTTCTGGCCTTCATGCGGATGTTACTTTGACACGTACCACCTACCTAAACATTGTTGCAGACCTAGTACACCCCTTTATGTCACTGGTATTCCCAGATGGCAGTTGCCTCTATCAGCAGGATAATGTTCCCTGTCACACTGCAGAAATGATTCAGGAATGGTTTGAGGAACATGACAGAGAATCCAAGGTGTCGACTTGGCCTCCAAATTCCCCAGATTGCAATCCAATCAAGCATCTGTGGGATGTGCTGGACAAACAACATGGAGGCTCCACCTCGCAACTTACAGGACTGAAAGGATCTGCTCCTAACATCTGGGTGCCAGATACCACAGGCCACCTTCAGATATCTTGTGAAGTCCATGCCTCAGCAGGTTATAGCTGTTTTGGTGGCAGGAGGGGGACCTACACAATATGAGGCAGGTGGTTTCAATGTTATGGCTGATGGGTATGGATTAGTACATAGTGGTTTATTTACCTGCTTACATTTCAAATTATGGCTCCATTAGTTTCTCACTTTCTGTTCCTCAGGCCTCCTATGAACATTTCTATTATTTATTTTTGAAATTTCCCACTTTGCTGGATGCAATGACATTATTGTGGATGCAGCTTATGCAGATTGCAGGCATTAATTGTTACCAGCTTCCCCTTTTTATTCTACGTTCTGTTACGTTTTACTGCATTTTAGCATCACAATGCTATATTTAGAATTACTTGGTTGCAATCTCTAAAAATGAAGACTGACCCAGTAATGAAAAATAATGGGTAGAAGAACGCAATTATATAATCTGAATATGAGCAGTAATCCAAAAATGATAGGAAATCAAAATTTTAGGGTTAAATCACCTTGATTCTAGGTTACCCATTCCCTATGGAAGATCAGTGTAGGTTTACCTTCAACAACCGTACCCACTATTGCTGCTAGCACTGTGTAACAGGCCCTATATGTTTACAGTGAGTGTGTTTCCAGCCTGTTACACTCAGTCAAGGTGCCTATTCATAGCTGCAAGCTGTTCTTCCGGATCAGGGCTCAGCCATTAAGACCTGACGCCCCACCGTGTTGTTCCCAGGAACCTGCTTCCCGGTAAACATGAAAATCTTGGAAAATCCTGGAAGAATTGTTAAGCAGTAAGCAATGTGAGCACTGTGGTCCTTCATACATAAGAGTGTCAACCAGTCAGAATAAAAGATGTACTGTTATCCCAGTATGTACAGGCTGAAGGCCTTCCCTTTTAAACAGCCTTTTGAGCCCCCCCCCCAATAATTGCGATAATATGAGCGATTTATATATATATATATATATATATATATATATATATATATATATATATATATATATATATATATATCCCACTATTGTCATCTCCATTTACTTTCTAACCTGATGGTTTTATTCAGAAAAACATTACAATTTTTACCCATTTGTTTTATATTTTACCAGAGAAATTAAACTTAACCCTGGGGAACCCAGACCACCTTATCATTATAGGAGAAATATGTGCATTGGCTAAAATGATCAAACAGACCCAGTGAACTCAAAAACAGGTGTTTTGTAAAAATAACCCTTTCCCAGTCCATGTTATGAATGTGCCATATACGACCCGATGAACTGTTCATGCTGTTCCAATTTGTTAATTTCACCTATGAAATAAGGACAGAAAAGAAGGAAAAACCAAATCTTTGCAACATTCTCACTTTCAAAATGCATTTACTGAGTTTTCCTTTATATCATTCACCATGTGCTGACTATAAAACACATGCTTCAAACATGCCAACCCATCAAGAAACAGGTCAAGTGAACAGACCTGCAAAAAGGTGTACTACACACAGAAAGTTTACTTGTGATGGGTTGTAAGGTCTGGTGCAGAGCCTGTATTCCCTCTGTTTTTGTATGAGGCTGATGTTTAGCACATGGAACATGATCATCACAGTTGCCAGAAAAGTTTCAAAACATCCAAAACCTAGTTGTACATGTTATATAACACCTAAACATTATAACTGATGATGCAAAATTTCTGCCACTTACCTATTCACAGCTTGACAGGTGAATCTTTGCAGCATGTACAGCAACAAATTCAAAACGCATTGGGGGCTATATTTATTGTGGAAAAAAATCTGGTTCATTCAGTCAGTAATCACTAAATGTTACTGCTACTGAGTCGTATATGGGCTGTAAAGCAAAAAAAAAATTCTTAACTTTGATGAATGGGTTGAATGTAAGGCAAAAATAAGAGGAAGGGTCGTATATGATCCCGTGGGTTCCCCAGGGTTAAATACGTTGCTCAGGGGCTCTTCAGTAGTATATATCTCCTGGGGTTGAAGCGGGCAAACTGATGAGCGTCAGACCTACATCTACCAGGTCAGGTCCGTATCCATCCCAATTTCGGATCAGCATATTCAAATTGCCTATGCAGCATGTACGGGACGGTAATTCTCTGTGTTAAACCGCTTTTAACAGCTGTTTTATATTTTAAACATCGATAAAAAAGACAATTCTGCGATAACAGCCGGGTGATCCCCAGTAGCCCCGACCGAAAATTCAGGGGTAGCTATAATACGGAGCCTGTTTCAGGTTCGTACATCGCATTTCCGAGGTTTCGGGTAATTTGTTTAATTTTCCCCCCATTATTTGCCACTGTTTATTGACATATTGTGTCTTTATTGTGCAAATGTCATTAGCAGATAGGCTATAATTTTAAAAACTCCCTGACAGCTGATGACCCTTGGTGTGGAACCACTGGGCACATACAGACATACACTGGAGGCCATTCGTGTTTGATTTCATCTCCCTGCACCATTTTCATCAACTGTAGTCACAGATCACTGTTGTGCAGTCTGCTAAGAAAAAAAACCCACTGATTTACTTTTTATGCATAAATCACCACAACAGCCACCGTAATAACACGTTTGAGCTATTCTTGCACCTTTATGCATATAATCAAAGTACATTTTATATTTTACATTCAGCATGATTTGTCAGTCAGCGGTCGTTTTACATTTCACAGATTATGAGTGGATCTCACCGCAACGTAAACAATAATCAGTACAAACAAAAAAGCAAGAAACCTATTCTGCATTAATCTGACAACGTAGTACTACAACAAAATACAGGCTTATCCATCCATATTCTATCCATCTGCGTCTCCTATATGACACTTCAATGTGGAGATGATCCGGATGTAAAGCGCTTTATTTATAGATATAGAAAACAAAGTATATACCTGTAAACAGCATGTGTGTGTGAGTGTGTGTGTATATATAATATATATATATATATATATATAAAATTTATATGACTGTTGATGTGTGTTGCAATTAACAGGTAGTAGGACAGATCACCATTTCTGGAGGTCAGCACAAAACTACGCTTTGTATGTCCAGGTATTTCCAGCAATGCTTGCCGAACTGAATCCCCTCTTGTAAAAATCTCAGCCAGTCACATACTGGTTTATCTAAACACAGTGTGCTCGTGTAGGACCGCGTGTGTGAGAAGGTGGGGGTGTTAAAGTCGAAGGCTACACTGGTGCACGAGTTTGGGACTGAAATAAATCAGTACAATTGTCTAACACCGTCTGATTTATAATCTCATTTTTGAAGTAGGTGTATTGTTAAGCCATACATATATATGTCCAATGTTCAATGACTAGTGAAATATACGGAGTATCTCTAAAGTATTCCGTGGTGTTGACTGGTGGAATCATCTGCTGTATAAACGATAATAGCAGGTGTGACAACGGCCACATAAAGTGATAATTAAGGATTGTAGATAATTCGGGATAATTAATTGTACGTTAAATCAGAACCGCCCATCCTGCCAGCTGAGTCATATGGGACTGTAACCGTAGAGATACTGCCAAAGAGCAACTGTTTCAGTCAGTCACTAAATAGCATGCGGCAAAATGCTAATGCATTATTGTCCAGACGCAAGATATCCTTTATTCACAAATAAAACCCAGAAAAAAAAAATAAGTTTTTTTCCCCGAGTCCTGATGCTTTCTGTATTTCAGGTTCACATACTGAGCTCAGTGTAGTTAAAACAATTTTAAAAAGAGGGGTAAAGTGCGTTATCGAGTTTATCCAGGTCACCAGTGAAATGATCAAACTCTTTAAGAAGGACAATTCGTTTGGTGTGAGACCCAGTTGCTCTCCAGATCATGGGCATCTGCAATCTGAAATATTTAAAAGAGCATTAAGTATAGATAAGCACGACACGCCGCACCGTGCCCTTGCCATATTCGCTTTGTTACCCGAGGTATCCATATTGTTCCACCGCAATATCTCGGCTTTACTTTTCCGTTTATCTCCTCTGCGGTGTTTTCCCCACGGATCTCGGCTCCCGTGAGAAATTCCAAAAATAGCAGTTTTGATGCATTTATTAATTAGCCGATCACGCTGGAAACAGGCAAGGCGCCCTCTTCGTATCTAACATTTCGGTTCCCCTGGTTTTCTTACCTGCCTGGCTGGATGGCCACTACCCCGGCCCAATAAAGTGCATTACCACCCCCCTTAGCCCTGCTTACCCCTGATTGCATTCCTCTCTTTGTATTTAAACATCCGGGTTTCCATGCAGCCTGCGCTGCTCTCCTCTCAGAAGCCATTTTGGACTCAGTTCAGTTTCTTGCATGTCAATTTCAGACCCTGTCTCTGTGGTTACTGAGTGTTTTAGGGGATATAGAGAGACACTGGTAACAACCCAGGCGAAAGAAAAAGCCCGATTCTTTTTAAAAAACAGCGTCCCCATCTTATCGACTGGAATAAATTCTCTCCCGATGGATTTTCAGATTTTTTAAAGTTTTTTTGCCCCCACCCCTTTCTTTATAGCATTGCAATTTTGTTGCATTGGGTTGTACACACAAAAGCAAAGCAAAGCAAACTCTCCGTGCGGTGGACATCGGAGACCGTGGGTCATTCGGCTCGATCTTTTTAAATGTTCAGGAAGGAAAGGCGATCAGGACGGAGATCTGCTGCGTTTCGCTCACATTGAAGGAATATGTTTGCGCCCTGGCTCACTTTTGCACTTCTTTGGGGAACTTTTTGTGCAGGTAAGTGCGTTTTTTTCCCAAGAACTAAGTCCGTTGCATATTTTGATCACACTGTAACATTAGCCTAGTGCAAAGCCATAGTCAGCGTAGCCCTGTTAATTCAGCACATTTTGTACGATGCTGTTGATGATCTAGTCTGGCTTTAAAAGGTTACTTTCCCGGCGATTGGTTTATTGTAATTTACTTTTGTTGGGTTGGTAGTTTAAAAAACCGTCTTATCTCCCCTGTTGCTTATTTACTGTGAGATTTTAATTGCCATTGTCATTCGCTATTTAGTCTTGCCCGTTTCAGTATCAGATGTGATAAATCCATTGTACGGCAGCATTACGCGGACCGCCAGCTATTAATACCACTCAGTAAATACATTTATTTTTACAAATAGCTTTAAAATGATTATCCAAAATCGAATTTAAGCGGGGCTGGATGATCGCACTAATGTGTTTTTTTTTTTTTTTGTCACGAAAGTTTTATTTGTTTTTCATCGGCATGAAATGAATCTTGTCTGCAACGTTTTGTGTTTAGAAATAGTCCTGGGATAAAAACGTGAAATGATGAGCGGGTATGTTTGATGTTTATGGTGTAGCTCGTCCTCTTGGCATATTTATGTGCCGTGATCCTAAAGCACGGTTGTAAAACACCAGCGGCTGGATAGATCCTGCTCCGACTCGACACGTTTTCAAAAAACCACGTGTATTAAAGACACACCAGTGATAATTAAACAGAAACGGCACTTTCATTCATAACCTGGCGATGGTATTACCGATCCCGTCCAGACAGTAAAAAAAAACCATGCTTTATTAGGCACTAACTTGGACCACCGTGCCTGATAGTTGTTTAAATGTATTTATGGTTATTGTATTGCTGTAAAAATTGGTATATTAATGGCACATTTATGCACGCCTCAGTTGGTAATCTGCTGGGAGAATAAGCGGTCTGTAGTTTATAGCTGGTTTTGCATGTGTGTTTTAATTGTGTTTCTGGCCGCCTTGGACCTGAATGGCGGGGCATTTGTGCTCATAGATGGGGTCGTCGGGGCACGTATGGGGTTGTATATTGCTGGAAACTGCGCCCTTACCACGGGGGGAATGGCATCTTGAATCTTTGCCAGCACGTTCCGCTGGGTGCCAAAACGAAATCTTATTTATTGAGCTATTTATTATTTACGCCAGGTTTTGCCGTGCAGTCCCTCCCCCTTGTTTTAAGGACTTATGGGAGGGGTACTTGAAGGCATTTGGGGTTAAATAAAAAGTAACCTTCCGGTTTATTTCTGCAGTACTCATTGTTTATTCGCGAATCGGGTCCAGTATGACTTGCAATATCGTAATATCGCTGCCCACTTTGTTTTGTAGGGCTGGTTTCGCTTTTCCGTACAGTTACGTGTGTGTGTTTGTGTCTCCCCCACATGTTTCAGTACCGCCTTATGTATGTAACCGTGCATCGATCTTTGTTCATATCCAGATCACCACTATATGTGTAACGGTAAATGGGTTTTTCCGCTGAAGAACGAATTGACGTCAATGGTCACCATTTAATCACTCGGACGACGTATTTTTAAATGTATTTAATATAGCAACCACGTGAAATTAATTTCAACATGTGCATTCCCCTTTGTCTTTTACTTGATTTAAAGATGCGCGGGTCCAGTTAGTGCAACATTTGTTAGCTGGTCCTAAACAGTTGGATGCGAATTTCATTTTCAGATTTTTCATTCTATCCATTACATCTATCCGTACTATTTGACACGGTCAGATTGAAAAGCGCGAGCTACCCTCTGTACGTGTGTTTCACGTCCCAAATACTGGCGATTTATTTCTCTGGTGCTTTATTGTAAGGGCACAAACATTTTCTGAGGCAGTAACTGTGGTAGCTTTGCAACTAAACCATCGGGAAATGAAACCTATTTAGGCCACGATCTCGTCTTTACCTATATGTAGTACGTCCCGTATCCTTGTGTATTTATGCTCAGTTTAACGTTTTTGTATAACCGATTAATTTCAAATCACTTGATGGTCAGGGAGTTCTTTAGATGATTGTGTTTTGGCTTCTTTGTGGTCTAAATAAGGACGTACACATAAGATTACAACGAGAGTGGATTCTGTAAAGTTTTAGGTGGCTGACATCTCAATTTGAATTTTCATTTATTTAGTGTGAAATTCCTGGGATTTTATAAAACCAATCTGTCGTCTATGAAGACTAGTATTGGCTAAATACCTTAAACGTGCAATGATTTTAACCCTTTCCTGACTGCCTGGCAAATACCCAACTCCTAGTTAATGTGCCTGGATTTTTAACCTAGCTCTAAGTGGCAATCAAAGAGGCAACTTTTATAATCAAGACGTGTACTCTTACTGCAACATAGTCGTCTTATTGTTTTAAAAGGGACCTCCTCTTAATGTAGTCTTGTAGCATTATTACACGCTTTGCATGCAGACTGCATATTTGCATGCAGAAATATCCACGCAGTGCTACGGCTAAGTCTTAATAAGGCTTGAATGCTTAACATAATAATCTCAGTGGTTTCTGCGACCCTCATGGGAGCCGTGCTTGGATGATTGGAAAGAGGGGGCTCCTGTATATGTCAATCATTCTGTTCCTTTGGTAGAATCTCGGCCGGAAGAGGATTCACGGGAGAATTAGGCGAACGCAGGCTGGTTATTGACCCCGAGTGTGTCTGGCTTTTGCTGCAGTATTCATTGGTGTTGCATCATGAGCGCATGGTCGCACACCGACTGGCGTAACACGTATGTAAACCCCGTGTTGTGGCCGCCCTCCCTGCGCCCTGGTTGTGTGACAGTGCCACCTCATTGCCAGCATGTTACCCGCCGTATACAGGAGTGTGTCGCACACTTATGGATGGCGAGATAAATCCAGAGGTTCTCCGGTCCTTGTTCCCCCATCCCCCGCAAAGGATGTGTGTGCTTTTGTGTGGCAACGTCGGGGGTGGATGGCAGTTCTCCTTCCTGTGTGCCTGCACAGCAGCGAGGCCTGTGTCCCCCCGTGGGGAAGGCCTGTGTGTGTGGAATGTGGGGGTTGAGGCCAAAGAGGAGCTGCCCCTCTTATCACATGACTATTGGATCAGTAACGGCGGTGTGTCGTAACTGCGTGTGCACGTCCAATAGCCCTGACAGATTCTCAAACATTTGGTCACATGTTCTATTTGGGGGGGGGAGTGACCGCAGCTGTGGGCATAAATTGTTACCATTAAACCTGTCTCCAAATCCCAGGCCCCCAAAAGGGAGAGTAAATGCGTTTTATGCCGTAGTCAATTTCACCGTGAGTTTTCCCTGTGTTTCGCTTTGACAAATGGGAATCATGGAGGTGGGGGTGGGTGGTGCTTGTGGGGGGGGAGCTTTGCCCTGAGCTTTCGCTTCTTGAAGTGATCATCTGCATTCAAATTTTACTCCTGCAAAGCCATATTATTTTATTGAAAACCACAAAAACGTGGTTGTGTGGGGCCTACCCCTGCTGTTTACTCCTTATTAGTCTAGAGTAGATGAGTTTTTAATTTCCAGTGCCTTCTGGATTTACTCTATGATCAAATTTAATGATCATCGAAATACATTTTTGTTCCCCCCAGCCCAACCTGCAATCCAGGCCTCTCCTCCCATTTTCGTTTATGTGGAGACTCCTTTCTGATTGCTCATGCAGCTGGGGTTTTCTTTGTGCCATTGTTTTTTATTTCAGAAGTATGACTCCAAAAGACACATTTTTTGGGACCAGGCTGTATAAAAGCTAGGCTGATCGCTTTTGTTCCTTCGGTGAGTTTCCTGCCTGTTCTTCCCCTGTTTGGTTGAGCCCAAAACACTTAGCTGTGTCAACATCAATAAAGATTTCATATTTTCATCGGTTTACAGTGCCGATCTGAGAACCTGCCTGTCTGCCTGAAGTCTGTAGTAACTACGGTTACATCAGTCAATCAGGTTTTTTTTTTTTTAATTGTTTTATTTTGAGGCTCTTGGATTTTTATTAGGTGAAGCAAAATAGTTAGATAACTACCCATCTGTTCTGAGTACTAGTGCCTTCTGATCAAACCAGATATTAAATGAATACTATTAAATGAATAGTACTAGAATGAACACTAAATCTTTTTGCCCAAACTGGAAATGCTTTAGAAGCCTTGGCCTTATACTCATCTCCGTTCGTATATAACAGCCAGTGCAGATGTTGATCGAACACGTTAAACGAAACGTGATACTGTGCCGCTTGATGGAACCTGTCCGGCCACGTCAACATTGTCGGAGCGGTCGGGTAGACTCGAACGAAAGCCTGTGATGTTATAAACCCAACCAGCTCGTATCTCCACGGAAACCCGACGGGACTCGCGCAATGTCTGGAAATTGATACGAATGAGTGCGTGTCAGTACAAGATTAAGCCCCCCCACCCTCACTATTTTTTTTTTTATTCCCCAGTTTGGGGTGTTTTAAGAGACTTTACAGTAAATGATGCACGGCCTGGACCGAAACATACCAGTCCTTCTCAGTTAGCTGCTCGCTGTCTTTCACCACATCTCTGTCACGTTGGGTCAAGGGCGTGCGAGCCACCGCTCACGGGGATGCCATAATGTCTGTGTTTGACTGATCTTCTTTGTGCCATCTCAGTTATTAGGTGCTGTTACTGCCAGGGGGGTAGTGGTGATGACATGAGGTCCCACGAAGCTTTGTAATGTCACTTTCACAAGGGGCTTATTGTTAACTAATTAGTTTTAGGTATGAATTGTGCTCAGGTCTTCATATGTATGCCTTGCTGTGTGTAGCTGGTGTTTTTTTACTGCCAGATAACATACCTTTATGGGGAGGGGTGATGCCATAATTGCAGTCATGTCAATTCTCAAGCGCTTTTTGTAACGGGATACCCTCAGGATGCGCAGAAGGATGCCAGTGTTAACTGCCTACTTTACAGGTTCTGCAGCTGGGGAACCATAGTTTATGTGTCTAATAGTTTTTTATCTATGGGACTGTGGGATTTTTTTGAGAGTTGTCAAAGATTATAAAGATTTTGG